GTGTGATTGCCGTCAAGCAGATCTCAATCTGTCTCTGCAATCACATTCCTGAGTTGGATCTGCTCCCACTGCCTTGTGGGTCAGGCTATTGAGCCAAAGGCTCCGGGTGGATTCCCTCAAGCAAACCTCCTAACCACCCACTGCCTTGTGGGTCAGGCTATTGGGCCAAAGGCTCCGGGCGGAGTCCCTCAAGCAAACCTCCGAAGCACAACGACCACCTCGCGTGCGATTGCCCACCAATGCAATCGTATGCCTGCGCGCAAAGCACTCAGCATCGGATGCTGTACGTGCGCACCCTACTGGACCGGAACTCCAGCGAGCGCCCGGAGCGACGCACTGCACTGGTCGCAATGGAGCTGGCGCGCTACCACATCGATATTGCGGCGCTCAGTGAAACTCGGCTCGCTGCGCAAGGTAAGTTGCATGAAGCAGGTGCTGGCTACACATTCTACTGGGTGGGGAACGCCGCCTCAGCACCACGTGAACATGGGGTCGGATTTGCAATATACGATCGCCTCCATGGCCAGCTGGTGGGTGAACCAACGGCATCAGCGCGCGACTGATGACTGTTCGCCTACGACTCGGAAGAGGTAAGTTTGCTACTTTTATAAGCACGTACGGTCCGACCATGTGTTATCCTGATGACACGCGTGATCAGTTCTACACTGAGCTATCCTCCGTGATACAGTCTGTGCAGAGGAGCGACCGACTATTTCTGCTGGGTAATTTCAACGCGCACTTTGGGCCTGATGCATCGGTGCGAACAGATGTTATCGGTTCGCATGGCATTGGTTCAGCGAATGCGAACGGCGACAGGCTGCTCTCACTGTGTGCCACTCACGGCCTGACGATCACGAACACTCGGTTTGCACTGAGTGCGAGTGATATAGCAACTTGGACGCATCCACGGAGTGGTTACGCTCACCTGCTCGACTATGTCATCGTACGTCAGCGTGATATGCGTGAAGTGCGCATGACACGTGTACTTCGTGGAGCTGAGTGTGGCACTGGTCACAAATTGGTGCGGACCAAACTGTACATATATTTTCGTAAATCGATGTATTGCACTCCCGCCGTGAATCGGCGTAAATTTAACATTCTCTCCGTCGGTACTGTGGAGAAGCGTATTGAGCTGGGGATAAGGCGATGGCTGCATGCCTGTGTGATGGGGAATGCATAGCCACAGTGGGCGACTTGTGACACCACATTCGTTACCAGGTGACAACTGTTGTCAAGGAGGCCATCGGGTGCGCAAACTGTAAGCGGCCTGATGGGTTTGATGAGAACAATGCGACGATTGGCGCATTGGTGTCTGAGAAGAATGCTGCATTTGCTGCATGTATGGCAGACCACAGTGACTTAGGGAAAAAGAGTCCGTTTCGCAAACTTCGATGGTGACTGACCCGAGAGCTCCGTCACATTGAATTGCATGGTGGACGGAGAAGGCGAAGCAAATGGAATGCTACGCGGAACGCTGCCAACACAGGAAATTATTTGGTTCTTTGAATGCGGTGTATGCATTGAGATTGGAGCCGCTGAGGACGCTGATCGATGGTAGTTCAGGCGTTACCTGCACACAGACTGCAGATCTGGCGGAAACACTTTGGCTGTCTCTTGAACAACCGTTCAGAGATCGACTGGCCTACTTTGAACGGACTCTTGCAGCACGTGGTGAAGATGAGTCTGGCGGATACGCCGATACTGGATGAGATGCAGAGAGCACTTGCTCAGCTATGAAACGGCAAAGTGTGCCAGTGCCGACGGGATCCCGCCTGAAGTATTGAAACACGGCGGACCCGCGTTGGTGAATGCGCTGCACCACTGGTACAACGCGTGTGGATTGAGGAGGAGGTGCATCCTGAGCTGAAGGATACCCTTGTGCTACCATCGTACAAAGGCAAAGGGAGCAAGCAATATTGCACGAATTACAGTGGCATCAACTTGCTGAGTTGTGTGGGCAAGATGATTGGCCGCATAATGCTCAGCCGCCTCGTCAATCACGTTGTGGAACCTAAGTTGGCGAAAGAGCAATGCGAATTCCGTTTGGGTCGCAGCACTATATATATGGTGTTTGCAGCTCGTCAGTTGCAGGAGAAGTGCATAAAACGACATTAACCATTGTACTCGACTTTTTGTTGATTTCACCAATGCATTTGATACGGTGAACCGCGAGGCATTGTGGCTGGTGTTGGGTAAGTTTGGTTGCCCGCGTAAGTTTGTGACTTTCCTTGAATGTCTGCACATTGGTATGTGGGTGACGGTGCAGCTGAGTGGACAGACCTCGAGTAATTTTGCAGTTGTCTCTGGTGTGAAGCAAGGCTGTGTCTTAGCTCCTGCCCTTTTTAATATATATCTTCATGCTATGATGTATTGTGCTTTTGCTGCCGCTTGTGCTTACGGCGTTCGTATGGAGCACCGTATTGATAGTGGGTTAATGAACATCTGTCGTTTCGGTGCGAGAACCTTAGTCTGTGAGATAAATATCCGTATGTTGCTGTTTGCTGACGACTGTGCGTTGTTTTCACACAGCGCGGATGAGTTGTAGCACATGACTAGTGCTCTGGCTTTGACAGCGGCTAAATTCGGGCTCACCATCAACACAAGCAAAACTGTCTGTCTCTTTCAGCCTGCGATGGTGCCGCAAATCAGCATTGGTGACGTGGTATTGGACACCACCTCCCGCTTCTGCTACCTTGAGAGTGTGATCTCGACTGACCAACAAATACACGGTGAGCTGCGTACCCGAGTATTGGAAGGCAGCGGCGGCATTCGGGAAGCTTGAGTACCGAGTGTGGAACAACCACCAGCTTACCGTCGGCACGAAGCTGATGGTCTACAAATCCATGCTGCTGTCCGTTCTTCTATACGGCAGCGACAACGTGGGCAACGTACGATGCGATATCTCGAGCGGTTCCGTCAATAGAGTTTGCGACGGATCCTGCGCATCTGTTGGTGCGACAGAGATGCCGACACGAATCTGTTGCCCTGAAGTCGAATGTATGCATTGGACGGCATACTTTTGCTGAGACACCTGAGGTGCCTCGGTCATGAGACCCGTATGGATGCGACGCGGATACTGAAACAACTGTTATATGGTCAGCTGAGCGTGGGGAAGCGACATGCGGGGGAACACAAGCTTCGTTACCATGACATGATCAAAGTGAGCCTCGCAAGCTCGAATCTTCAATGCATGTCATGGGAATCGAAGGTGGTTGCTCGGCGTGCATGGCGCGATCTGATCATGAAGCAATCGCTGATATGCGGGAAAATCTCCTCGTACATGCGGAGAAGAAGCGGCAAGTGCGGAAGCGGCTGGAGCCGATGCGGTGTACTCCGTCGACGTCGAGCGCATGATGCTGTAGTACATGTGGTCGTGAGTGCCTGAGTCATGCAAGTCTGGTGAAGCACGAGCGAGGCCACTCGGGACCAGTTTCTAAACGACGACGTGAGCAGAACCGGCACAGTTTTGCTGGGTACGCTGCATTCGTTTTACTAACCGAATGTTTGCGTGCTGAGTTTCTTTATTCTAATTGGTGGGTTTGCTATTTGTCTTAATGGTTTTTTTTACCTCACTTGAATTTTTGCCTGAGTAATCTTCTTTTAACTTGCACATATCACTCAAGCTAATTGTGGTTAAATTCGTTAACATTTTCGCGTTTTTTAGCATTTTTAAAAAGGTATATTTTATGACATATTGAACTTGGCGCGGATTGTTGATAGCCATTTTTTAGATATGCTAGTGTAGCGAGGAGTTAAGTCGACGCATCCTTGTGCCTCATCCGATTTATTTTATTTGTTATCGTCATTCCAAGTGACTGGCTGTTGTTTGACATCCAGGTGTGGTTGCGCTTGATGTGCATGTTGACATGGTGCCTACCTGTTTATTACCCACTACCTCCTCTATACTGGCTCCAGGAGAGTTGATCGTTGTTGGAGGGAATGGGGTGCATGGTCCTCGTGACTGTTAGGCTCGAACAGTGGTTCTAAGCACATTGTTTGTGTGTGGAGCGAAATATGGTGCAACCACCGCCTTGTTTGCGCTTGATTTTTAAATACAGCGTGCTTGTGTTTGCCTGTGAAGGAGTGTGGGCCGGCTCCTTTGATGAAACGTGGCTCCCATCCACATGCTTCCCGGTTTTATTTCTTCGGGTTTACACTGGATATGGGGTGTGTGCGTGGTGCAGTGCAAGCCACCCTTGGTCCCGCTGTGAGCGCAGGCGTCCTGGGGCGGTCCCCTTAGAGGCCACAGTGATAGGCAAATCCGGATACGGATGCCCCTAATTCATGCATAAGAACGCTCTCTTGTTGCTCCTACCGTAAATTGCTCGCGTTGCTCAGCATTGGTGGAATCAGATGCTGTCGACACCAAGCTTCCAACCTTAGTTGTCTGTGCCTCTACGTTAGCTGTTTTCAGAAAACAATTGGATGTCGAAATGTACGCCCTACAATTTTTACGTGAACGGATATTTAGGGTATATTCAGCCTAACTAGCCTCTTTGGAATTATGACACGCCGTGACGCACGTAAATTTGTGCAGAAGAGTGAGCAATCTGCATGTTATTTGCATTGAGTATTAAAAATAAATATTGTTTTTTCGCTTTGCCTGGTACTATCTCACTCCCACAACCCTCATTCTATATGCCATTATCTTTTCACCGATCCGTACTTTCTTTGCTTTAATTATGCAACATTTGAATTTTAATTTCTTCTATTACCAACCTACGGGACATGTTAAGTCTGCACCTTTTTACTCTTTAAAAGCCATTTTTCTATAGTTAATACTCGATATAAGTCCGAGAAGACGATCGGTGCGTAATATGGTAGCTACGGATGTTACACCATCCTCATCATCGACACAATCATCTGTGTGTCAGTATTTTGTCCCAATGCTACAATGCCGTTTAACAGAATTCGGGTGACGGAAGGCATCAGCAGTATGCCGGTATTCAGTACCGACCCTTCGCTGCTGCGCAACCACCACCGGTCGCACGTGGGCTAAGGATATTGCGAGGGTCGTCCTGCCGCTACGCGGACTCGAACCTGCGCCTCAAAATTATGGGACAAGGTCGGCCGGACACCTGCAGCTTGCGGGCAACCTCTGCGGTCACTATCATTGGCCTTCGCAATGATAGGTAACATTAGTGTGCAGCGCTTTGCATTCACCGCTGATAAGGTGGTGCTTCTGGGAACCACTATAGCGCACTTTACGAGATTGGTCAATGGTTTTTGGTCAATCAGTTGTAGTTATAATAATATGGTGACACTCATTTATGTGAAAGTGGTCCACCTTGTGAACAACACCACATTCTTACGTTTAGATCTTTGTTGATGATTGCAATCATCCCCTTATCCACGCCTAGTCGCCTTGACAATGTCCAGACCTCTACACAGCCAGAGTTACTAAATGCGTCAGTTGCCACTCTGTTTCAAGTCACGACTGAGGTATGTACTTCTTTTACTCTCTTCGACTGAACAACTGAGGAAGACATTGCAAGTTTGGTGGAACACTTGTCCGTTATTTATCATCTACATTCAGCGTTCTCAGACACCTGCTCTTCCTGAGTGAAATAATTGATGCTTCTCAGATGCTCTTTGTTCTACGGTTTTAGCATAAAACAGGCCACTTCCTTATCATAGAATGGCCTTACCTCCCAGTCTGAAGTCAATATCCATGTTTATCAAGTGTGCGGAACAACACGATGCTCGGGACGTGGTGATTGCTTACTACTGTACGTTCTGCCTGGGTCTTTACCTGTTTTATTCTAGGCAGATTGTGCGCCTTTCAGAAAGGTTACGGGATAGATCCATCCTCACCGGACTCTAAGGCTTATCTGACAAAACTCATGAGCAAGTTAGAAGAAACCAAAAGCAAAAACTTGTCGGTGGAGGGAATAGCAAGCGAAACGATCGGGCTAGCTCATCTCGAGTCATATGCGCTTAAATTGTTCCAATTCGCTTACCAGAAAGACTTAAACAGTGATTTCAGCAGGTAAATCTCTTTCCCTTCCCACACACACTGCCTTGTGAAGACCTACTGTGCAGTCATTTTGGACTGCTGGGGTTTTGTTGGATGTTGCCACCACTTTGGGATGTCCAACAGAGGAGGCATGGTGTCTCTGGTTTTGTACTAACCTGTGTCTGTATTTTAGCTGGAGAAGGCGAGAAAGTATGCAAAATGGAAAGCAATCTACATAACTGGTTGCCAGAAGAACGGCGAAACTCCCTTACCTGGTCCTACTGGTGGGGATGATTCCCTGGAAGCTCCAGGTAAATAAGATGGTTGACGAAAGGTTTGATTTCCCTTTTTTTATTAATCTCAGCTGTGCTGCTATGGCCACTGTAGCATCATAGAGGCTTGATATTATTCCCTCTTTTTGCTACATGTTACAAGATTGCCAGGGTCATTCTATATACTGTCAACTGTTACTGTGCTCTATCTGAAGAACATTTATCCTATACCTGACACAGACTGCGTTCAAAACGTGGCGTTTATTGACTGTTTCTTATTTGGAATCACTTTTCATGCTTTTTATGGGCAAATTGAGGCGACATTGTCCGTAAAAAGTCTAGAAGGCATCAGCGGTACGCCGTACGCAGTACCGACGCTTCGCTGCTGCGCAATCACGTCCAGTCGCACGTGGACTAACAATACTGCGAGGATCGCCGTGCCCCTAGACCGACTCGCGTCCCTGCCGCAAGATTACGAGACAAGCACGTTACCTCTAGACTACGGGCCGGTAACAGACATCTAAACAGTCTTCTGCCAAACAGCAGCAGGTCAACACTGTTCGTTGGTGCCCTTATCGCTTTTGCGCATTGCTTCCTAGTCACTGATGTTGATAAACGAGCTGCTTTTGGTTTCTTTATTGTTCAATACCATTCCGTTGGCTTATTCATTATAACAGGCCATACTATACTTTGTGTATCACGCTCACCTTAGTATCACGCACGACAACCACGTAGTAAGAGCGTGATATTTAATCAGCTGACTATGTTCTGGGCACCCTCCACCTGAGCACCTTTCTTAGTAGACTATCCTACGGGATGACAGGTTATGTTATTGTATTGCTGTATTTCGAGCACATTCCCTTTACTCTATAATAATGATAATGCCAATAATAGTAATGGTAATAGTAAGTATTCGTTCGCTGCGGAACGGGAATCCCGGATTAGGGGAGAACAGGCAGGTTTCCGCCCAAGACGGGACTGTAAAGACCACATATTTACTTTGCGGCAGGTGCTGGAGCAGTGCCACGCATACCGCAGACCGACAATAGCTGTGTTCCTCGATTACAAGAATGCGTTCGACTCAATCGATCGATGCATTCTGTTCAAAATACTTGTGCAGGAAGGTGTTCCCATGAAATATGTGAACATTTTACCTGCTCTATACTCGAACATTACAGGCCGCTTCAGGGTCTATGATGACCTGTCAGATAGCTTTCCGACCACAAGTAGCGTTCGTCAGGGTTGTCGGATTTCCCCATTTTTGTTCCATTTCCTCGTGGACTTCATGTTCTCTTGCGGAATCTCACGATGCAGATGTTGAGGTCCTGTCTGGTGATAGGCTAGTTGATCTCGCTGTTTAACGATGTTGGGGCGACACAGTCAACCCCGAATAGCCTGCCTAAAGTGGGCGCCATTATTTGGTATACGTTTCGCACCTTCAAAGTGCAGTGTTGTTGCAGGACCACTAGCTACTTGATGTTCCCTTGACCCTTACTGACGAGAAACTTGAGATAGTTGATTAATTCACTTACCTTGGTAGCTATATGAGCAACAATGGGTGCATAGATAATGAAATCACTTCACCTATTGCAAAGGCCAGAAGCGCCTTTCTGAATCTGCGACATCTTTGGCGACTGAAAGGGGTTTCTCTGTTTGAAAGGCCGTTTACAAGGCCATAGTGAATGCCATGCTACTCTAGGAGTGAAACGGCCCCTTCAATCTGAAGATCTGAGGTGCCTACAAGTCTTTGATCATCGCTGTCTACAAAGCATTGCTGGTGTCGAATGGGACCAGCGTGTCCGCAACAATGATGTGCGTAAGCGAGTGCTGGGCAATGATACCCAAGCTGCTTCCTTAACACAACGGATATCACTGAATCAGTGGCGTTGGCTCGGGCACGTACTACGTATGTCTGCTCACCGCTTACGGAGGAGGGCGTTGTATAGTCTGCAAGATATAGGGTGGCGCAAGGCTCGAGGTGGACAGGAGTTGACTTGGCACTGACGACCAAACTGTATGCCGTTGGTCCGTCTCGCCTTCCAGGCTGGAGTCCACGTGACGCGCCTTATGCTTCGCTCGAGATTTTACAGGACATGGCTCACAGTCGGCACCAGTGGCACCTTTGATGCCGTCTCCTAGTCAGACTGCCTGTTTAAAGTGTGTGTGTGGTGTCGTTATCTGCGGAGTAATGGCTGCTGCTTATGATGCGTGACAGTGAAAGCCGCAAGGAAGATGTCTCTGCACGATAGCTAGCTGTTTGTGACGGCATGCTGTTGACAAGGTGTGGGCTCATTGACACTGAACGTTTACTTATGGCATTAAGTATTTCCGACAAGTCCCACTTTTCTCGTTCCGTAGGTCCTTATGGTTGTATGGCAGCGAAGCATCAGTTCAAATGGCTGATGTACTGCTGTTGTTGATGATGATGAGTAGTGAGTATATTTCACATCAAGTGCGAAGTGCAGCATATCAGTACTTCGGACCGTTGCTTCGCCACAGTAAGAGTAGTTTGACCTGAGGAGTGAGGAGGTGAATGTAGCATAAAATTTGGATGCTTTAAGCAAGCATACCGGGTTGAGACACCTACACTTAGTCAACCACACACTGTTACAAACGGGTGGTTTTCTTTCGAAGATAGACATCTTTACGGCTTTCACTTGCCCACATATCTAATAAATCATTACCACAGGCAACCCGATTAGGAGACTGCAGCAGACACACCATTGATTTCGACTAGGAGTCATTTTCTACAGATTCTCAAGTGAAGCACAAGGTTGATTGAATGTGCTCTAGCCTGAAACCTCGTCAGTGACCTCGTTTTCCACTGCCAAGTTAAATTTTGTTTGTTTGTTTTTAGCTTTGCGCCACCCTACATCCGGAAAGCAAAACCAAGCTCTTCTCGGTAGGTGGTCACCAGATATGCGTAGCACGTGCCTAAGTCAACTCGATTAATCCAATGTTACATATTGTTCTAAAGAACTAGACTGGCGTATGCACATCACCGTTGCAGATACGCTAGTCTCATCTGACGCCCGCAATGCTCCACAAGCAGCGATGATCAAAGACCGAAGGGCCCACATTCTACTTCCACAGTAGGACGGCGCTTACCGTTGCTTTTATCGCGGTTTTCAGACTATCGAAAATCTTTTTATAGTACCGCATGCGTCACAACTTCGAGGATACAGTTCTAACTTTTATGACACGCTTCTAATACAAGCATCAAGGTAGATAAGCTGATCAGTTGCCTCCAGTTCAACATCATCAAGATTCAAGTGGTTTTACAATAGTACTTTGTATTGTAAACATAATCATGACGACGTTTTCCAGAAACCATCCAATGGCTGAATGCTCTTGCATGTTTACATGAGACCCACTTTTTATGCACTGATTAGGTGTGCAGCCATGAGCAGAGTGTTTATGATGATGTGCGTCTCTCGGATCATTAGACAACACTTCCGCGCACTATCGAACCGCTTGACCTCAGCTATCCGATAGCAGATGATGCTTAAGTATATATATGGTGTATATTTTGATAGCGAGACACAGACTAACTACATTTTCAAATCATCATGTACGACATAATCAGATGGTAGAGGAAAATTTTGAGGTTTACAAAATAGTTCCCTGAGACGTTTTGTGGTATTCAATTAACTAAAAGTACTAAGAATACAGAAAGTCGAGCACAGGAATTCATGTGGGTATAGCCAACAGTTCAGGTGAAGTAATGCGGTCATTCGTGGAACCGTATCCTGGGGATCCGGTTCCATGCGATTTAGTCTCTCTCTCTCGAGAGCACTTTCATGCTTCATCTGACTTAAAAACCAGGTAAGCTGCCATCATATTGACTCGTTTTTTGACCGAGGTTGTAAGCAATAGGCCGTCGATATGTAGATTCGTTTTTTGAGTCTAGTACTTTTTCTCGCCAGTAGGTCTGTGGCAGCCCGTCTTGCCTGTGTGTTAATAATTAGCTTGGAAACTTTACTACGTCCCCTCAGAAGATCGACCCAGTCATGACCAAGCATGGAAAGAAAAGAAAAACAATAAAATGGGATGGAGTGAAAACTATAATGAGTAAATCTTATATGCTTATCTATACCAATCCCGAGTCATTTTGGGCCATAGCGGAATCAATTTAGACAGTAAGAATTTCGAGTTGAGTCGTAACATTTTCAAGTTAATCTGTTCCACACGTCGGCCGACTTGTCGGCCCATAGCCTAGAGGCAACGAGCTTGTCTCGTAACCTTGCGGCGCAGGTTCGAATCCGCGTACCGGTGGGTCTCATCGCGGTATACTCAGCCCGCGTGCTACTGGTGGTGGTCACACGGCAGCGGAGCGCTGTTACGACGTACAGCTGACACATGATTATTATAGGATGAGATCTAGTTTGACAGTCGTCTGCACAAGCGATCGAGGAGTACCAGCAGATAAATAAATCAGTAAAAACGTGGTATGCTCCTAACCAACGTATATCACAGTCCTGTCGGCTGCCTAAGCGTCTACCGCGTCGCACTCTATTCGCTCGTCAAGGACGTGGTTGGAGGCGACCGTGTGGTGATCAGCCTTCCCCTTGGCGGCAGCACATGAAATCGCTGACGTCGTGTCTAGCCGCTGTTGGATCCGTACCTCTTCCAGGATGGGGACCCAAAGATGAGAAGTGCCAATGGCTTACCACTCTTGAAGACATGACTCGCAACCGGAATGAGTGGAAGAATTCTGTACGGTATTGTATTGATTCACATGTTTAATACTTCAAACATTGAAAATGACAAAAAAGAACGAAAACGGCGTGTGAAAAACAAACTAAAAATGTTTTGTTCTACTTTTTGTCAAAATGTTCCTTCCTTTGGCATAATAACTGAAGTGTGTTGCTAACCTTCAACTACTATGTCACGATGATTATGACGCAATGACTGTCTCTTACCCGTTGATCTCCATGGTTTTCTATTGGCTCTGTGTCTAGTTCCTAGACTGCTCAGATCATACATTATACGGCTGCCTTAGGTAACTATCGAGCACGCTTAGCCTCCCCCTCCAACCATGATCACATTTACTTGGAGTAGCGTAACTTTTTTGCAGCAAAACACCTGACTGCTCTTCCTCCGGAACGGTACCCATCCGTTATTGGTAACTCAGCAGGCGCGTCTCTGTTGCATTTTTTACTTTATTTTGTGTTTTGGCACAATACCTGAGGTGTTTCACACCTCTAGCTAACGTGTATACTGATAATGATGATGATTTCTCGCTTAATCATGCTGTCGAATATAACTCCGTGTCATCTACTTATCTTGCGATTTTACCTTGTCGCGGAAAAAACGAACGACTCTCCGAGCTACTCCGAGCGTCCTAACCCGCACTTCAATGGAGTTATCATTGAAATACCACCACATACGAAGTAAACGTGTCCGCCTAACAAAATCTACGGTCATTGAAGCGGGACACTCAGTTCTGATCGTTCCACAAGATCCATCGGGCTTCTTTAGTCGGTTTCAGTGTAGGAACTTCTCATAAAACGTGACCCTTTAGATTGCGTGACAGGTATAACGAATTTCTCGTGATTACCTTTTAACATACGTACTTGAGTTGTTCATACGGTGGAACGTTCACATTCTCTGTCTCACAGGCACTGCGTCGTTCGCCTGGTGTTGCTCTTTGCAAACCACAGTTGTCTTAAATTTGGCGCTTTTATCATTGAATGCTTGAGGGCAAATTCAGTTTTCGTCAACTGTCGATGGCCATTCTATACCATTGACATTCAACTTTCATTCTTCCGAGGCGGTTATGTGAACGACTTTGTTGACGTCATACCCTACGGGATAACTAGAGCTTACCTTGAATTTCGTCGCGTGCTCGTCTGGTACACGCTCTTCTATTCCAGTATTCGCGGCGCGCTTCGCAAGTTGTGGCTTCTACAACACCCATCGTTAGAACCGATAAGTTGTGGCGGATTTGTATGATTCTAAAGTTCCACTTTTCCTCGAATTCTGTTCCTTTTGGATGCTGATTTTGGTACTGCTAACCTGTGTGGGGGTCTGGAGTCCTAACCGTAACCTCGGTATCGTAGTGTTTGCCATTAAAAGCCTACACGAAAACAACTCATCTCACCCAGCCAGTTTTTATACGAAACGGTTTATCCTTCTTTGCTTGCTGAACTATGTTGGCCGCATTGTGAATGAGGTCGTTTGCGAGCTATGCCGCAGGCCCAGTTAAACTGTCGACACACACATCGATAACTGAGCGTAACATGCATTACCTTTTTCGTGAGTTATCATCATCAGTGCATTCGCATGGCTTTCACATTCAGTGCAAAGTATTTGTTCAGTGGTGGCCGGTGTGATTTATCCAAATTCATCGATTCTATGATGGATAAAACAAAATTCCACTATGCTTCTCACCATTCACAGCGACGAGCCACGAAGCACGTCGAAGGGTTGGTCACTCTTCCTTAGCAACTTAGGCTGAGGACCATAAAATTATACAGCAGCCAGTATTGGCGCCTACGTGGCGACCTTATTATTATGACGTATCATATTTCGAGGAACTCCAATCACGTCTGCCGCCACCTACTACAACTCAGTCACAACACGAATTTGAAGGGCCACCACCAGTTCAAATTGGCTAAAAGGTCGGTGAAACTTTTACTCTCTTCGTGTGTGCAAGACATGGAATACCCTCCCAAATTACGTTGTTTCCGCTCCTGTGTTTAAAAAACACCTTGACGTTGTCCTACCTTACGAGATATAGCCTGTGTCTCGACAGACGATATAATGTGACGGAAGTTGCACAACCAGAATAAACCTACATAATTGAAATTGGCTCTTTTCTGCATGCCTCTGTGCGAACACTGTGGTGACTTCACCGGAACGATTTTCATTTTATCCCTTTGTTTTTTACTCGGCATATTGTGCATCTCATTCTGGCCATCCTACGTGATTTGGTAAGCATTTGCTTTTTCACCCGGAATATACCACTGTACCATCCATTCTTGTCACCTTTTGACACTATGTCACCACCAAATTCTCCATTCATTGTGACAGATTTTGCCCTGAATCAAACACCAATTGCTCCCCCGAAACCGACACCATCGCAACCGCCGGCACCTTCAACAACACCAGCACAGCTGCCCACTCCCAGTAAACCGGCGGTTGCCTCCATCTCCGAAGACAGTTCCGCTGAGGATAGTAATCATATGTCACCGGAATTGTATGCGTCCGTAGAGAAGAGCATACGATACGCCCTCAGTGCGTTGGAGTATCAGGACAAGGAAACTGTGATCTCATATCTCCAAAAAGCCCTTCAAATGCTTTCCACATCGTAAATGTGCATTCTGCAATAATAAAACCAATACGCATTACCATTCGGATGAACGTAGGTGCCAATGTGATTACATCAACCTGCTTTGCAGAAAGTTAAGCTCAGTTTGGTTATTTGTTCACTTTTTTGAAATCACATTTTATGCTCCCACAACCGAGAACCATTAGAGCTAACCGCGGGTGAATTCCATCATTTCTCTTATCGTTATACACCGATAGTGGCACAGAATGCCCGTCTGTAATTTTGACTTTGCAGCCTGTTTATCTGAAGGCGAGATCTATCCTTTGTATTCTGTCGATTAATTTGACGTCAAACTGTGTGTATCTATCCTCCGCATCTTTTATCTTGTCGCTTCGTAGGAATACATGCGTGTTCTTGAAGCTCAAATTTACGCTCCTGTTTTACCGTGCAAAAACCGCACAGGTCCCACTGACACCCGGAAGGATTTCTGTGGACTTGAGCGAGTTTCTTCGTTTGAATTGGAAGACCCATCATCCAACTAACTCGTGTTTTGATGTCTTGTGTGCATGTGTCATTGATCGTTACGTATGGTAGGTAGATCATTTTTTTATTTACCACGATTCGTGCTGCCTGAGTGCCTCTGGACCATTCATCATTCATTAAGCACGTTAACTGGAGGTGAGAAACACCCCAACTATTGTGCTGCAATATATCGCAGTGGGTATTAGAAATAAATACAAATAATAAATAGTACGGAATGGAAACAAGTAATATGCGTTTTGATTATTGTGCATAGACGGTGGGATCGGGATTGGGGAGGAAGACGAAGTGCGGTGAGGAAAGAAAAAAAGAGCTCACTGCAAAAACGCCACTGAAGTCGCTTTGTCGCCATAACCACAGGTGTTTCCAACCAAACGTGCTCGTTGTCTTCCGGATCCCATTCCGGGATTTAGGATGCCCTAATCGAAACCATGTACGAACTGAGAGTCTTCCGTTGGCATCTCCTCCTCTTCTTCCATCCAGATTCCGGATGGCGATTGTTAAGGGTCCAGAATAGCAGTATCCCTCCACGGATTCACGCGATAACTCAGAGCGATGCCTTTGAAAGGGTTCGTTGTGGCCAGAAAACCGTTTCATCATATTGGAACTCTTCGACAGTGTATAGCCAAGCATCATACCTAGCAGCTCTCTCAATGGAATGTAGCCTAACTGAAGCGACGAGTTGCAATGTGAATCTTGTCGATCCAAGCTTCAAAAGTGCAAGCCAGAGAATATATATACATACATGTATATATTTGTAAGTAGTAGGGGGGATTTATTAGGTTTTGTGTAGATTCGTCGCAGTTAGACGTTGGCAGACAGCCACTTGAATATATATATATATATATATATATATATATATATATATATATATATGTATATATATATATATAATACAGGTAACAGTAAAATTGGCAGGGTGCCACAGCGTGTGGACAAACATACAATGATACAACAATAAGGAAATAGGGGGGGGGGAAAGCGCAAAATTGGAGTCATGGGAGCAGAGTCTCACTATATATATTCGTCACTGCTCACGGTTTCTTGACATGTCCGATAGGGTTTCCAGCCAAGTGTGTTCATGGTCCTTGGGCCCCCAACCGGGGAGTCGAGAGCGCCCGATCGCGGCCAAATGTGAAGTCAACGCCTTCATACTTTTGACCCAAGTCATTCGCTAGTCACCTTGTCTTCGCTTCCAGCCGACTTCTGTGCGCGCAGAGTGCACGGTGAGGCAAACGCTCAGTAGGCATGCGTAGCACGTGTCCAAGCCACCGAAGCTTGTGCAGCGAAATTATACGGCTCAGCGGCCGGCAAAGTCTGTCCGATTTGAAAATCCTTCGGCGAACCTCCTCATTACTAATGTGGTGTTGCCACCGTACACCAGCAATGCTCCGAAGACATTGGTGATCAGACAGACAGCCTCTGAACGTCCTTTGCGCGAACAGGCCAAGTCTCGCAACCGTAGAGCAGGACCGCTCTCACCGTGGCATTGTAGACTCGGCCCTTCAAGGATAGACTCAGGTCGCGGCGACGCCAGAGATGGCGGAGATTAGCAAACGCAACCCGGGCCTTAGAGACGCGCAAGGAGACCTCATCCGTTAAACCGTTAGCGCTGATGCAGCTTCCGAGGTAAACAAACTTGTCTACCACTTCCAGAGATTGACCTGAAAGAGTAAGGTTGTAGCAGATCCTGGCGTCCTGTACGAAGGGGGCGAAGGTCGTTCCAAAGTGGGAGGCAGGCACCGCCAACCTGCACAGCAAATTTTGGGTGGCCTGTGAGGAATCACAAGTTACGGTGATGTCGTCTGCATACTCCAAATCGCGAAGTCGGTTTCTCGAAAGCAGTTCAACGCGGCTGGGTCCGCAATGCTCCAGAGCGCTCTCCTGGATGTCATCAATAGCAAAATTGAACAGGAAGGGTGATGCAGGGCAGCCCTGTCTCACACCACTGGTGATACTAAAGGGCGGCGAAAGTTCGTCGTACATCCGCACTCGGCCCGAGAGTGGATGGCTCGAAGGAAGTTGACGTACTTCTCAGGCACTCCCCTTCTCAAGAGACAGCTCCAGAGAGTAGCTCGGTCAGCTGAGTCAAACGCGGCTCGTATGTCTAATAAGACAACGATCGTTGGCCGGCCGAATGTTTGACGACACTCGAGTATTTGGCGGAGAGTAAAGATGTGATCGATACAACTCCGGCCGGAGCGGAACCCAGCTTGCTCTTCGCGTATGTTTTGTTCGCGTACCAGGCTGAGCCTCTTTAAAAGCAGAACGGCGAGCACTTTAGAGGCAACGCAGATGAGACTAATCCCTCTGTGGTTTGCACAGTTCGTTCGGGCATCTTTTTTGAAAAACGGAACGATATCCGCGAGACTCAAAGCGGACGGGATTGCTTCGGTGGTCCAAACCTTTTGGAGGAGGGAAGTTAGCTCCCGAACAAGTGATGGACCTCCATCTTTGAAAAGAGCCGGAGGGAGTTCGTTTGGGCCGGAAGTTGTAGCGCTTTACGAGACCAAACTCATGAACAACCTCAGCCACAGAAGGTGGTGAAGCGTCTACACACCAGGGAGCACTACGGATTCCGGAATGAGGCATCACCGGTGCTGCAGGCCACTTAAACTGCTGCTCCAAGTGCTCAGATAAACACACAAGTTGACATTGTTGGCAGTGGGTTCGCTCGCCATTAAATTCGCACAAAACTTCGCTTACAGTCGGCCTTTTGCCGCCAGTAGATCGGGTCAGGTGGAAAAACTTTGAAAATTGTTAAGATTGAGAGACGCCTGATACGATTGTCACTGGCACGGTTTGAGCACGCCTACGATAACGGCTTGGGACGCTGGCCGATCGAACGGATTTGCGCTGACGTGATGCCGTTAGCTTACCCCGGGGTAAGCTGGTGTGGTGGAAATCGCGCTAGCGTGAGAACGTTCCTAGGCACACGTATTCGGGTAGACACTGAGCCCTCGTAACGGACGAGGCTACGCACGCGAGAGGGGGTGACGGTAGACGCGCGCTAGTGGCTTAGACGCGAACGCTGCTCGGCTATCGACGCACACAAAAATCACGTGACCGAACCGACTCCCAACTAACGGCGAAGAGAAAGCAAGACAAGTGGTCCTCTGAAGGCTCTTTTACGACCAACAAAGGGCGAATCACAGCCAACACTATGGGTCATTAAGTTAGTGAAAATAGCTACCGCGACGGGGTGGTAGTTTGTAAAAGAACATTGTCAACATGTGCGCAGTTGTGTCGCGTCTCGGAGTGGCTGAAATCTGCTGCGTTGGGGGGAGGAATTGAACTCCGCTTTCCACAGACATTACGCCGGAGTTTGTGGCGCGTTTTTGCGGGGATATTTGACGGGCCCGCACCAAAAATTTTCTGAGCTGGCTGGCTGCTCAATATCAACGACCCGTTACGTTCACCAGGCCTCGCGGTCTTCCCTGAGGAACTGTTTGAGTTCAGCGTTAGTGGTCCTGCGTAGTGAATGATACTCAGCACCAGTTGGAATTGCCCGACGAGCCTCTAGGAGTTGGGATCGTGCAGAGAGGAACGAACCTCCGAGATCTTTGCTTCCGTACCTTTTACACGTCATCTCGACTGTACGGCCACGGGCAGGTAAGGTAGTGTAAGCGACACCTTCCGCAACTCTGCCCGATCTTATTCACCCACCCAACCCTCGTCCAGATTTACAGGAACAAGTGGCGTCGTTTCGTAGGCGACCTACACAGCACTAGCGAATGAATCCGTGATGACAATACCAGAGACGTGGGTACGGTGCAAACCAAAGGAGAACGGTCTCGCATTGCAACCGATGCAGTCTTGATCGATTCCATGAACTGTGGGGAACAGCCGAAATTCTAGCTATTTCGGCTCCTAAACTGATACGCTCAGTTAGCTATCCTTCAAGCCCTCCCCCGTTTTTCTCTGTTCCTTTCTATCACATTGACGGCCAGTAGCCTTAAAGATCACAAGCTTGCCTGATAATCCGAGGGCGCGGGTTCCAGCCTGCGTAGGGACCGGGCGACCCTCGCAGTATCCTCAACTCACGTGCGACTGTTGGTGATTGCGCAACAGCGAAGCGATGGATACTGCGTACCAGCGTACTGCCCCTTTTTACATTGACGGCGGAGATGGAACTACACAGCCTGCTCGCCTCTAGAACACTTATCTTCTTTCAGGTCGTTTCATCATGGTGAATCAGCCCTATGACGTAATGAAAACAGCATAGCCCAGTAACTCCCCAGTGGTGCGCCCAAAACCCACAGTAAAAGCGAATGTCATGCATTGTGACGCGCGTTGTTCCGCTTCCTCTCTCTCTCTCCCCGAAAGTCGCACACCTGTATGGGCCAGAGCACTCCGATGCCATTCTGCGAGCCCTGCCGGGACAGTGAGATTACACGGCTGTGCCAAACACACTTCTGCACATGGTTGTTGGAAGCAAATGTGGTCAAGTGTGCCAGACGAGAACTTTTCAAATGGATCTTGACGCGTTCCGTAGGACCTTGGAACACCATCAAGCAATGAGAACACGGAATCCCAAAGAATAGTTGTCTGTGTAAGCGTATCCGCACATATTCAGTTAGGTAGGACTTGTTTACATCATTGAGAAGTCGAAATGGTAATAGTGTAATTCGGGAAGGAATGAATTAAATCAGAATGAATTGTGCTTGGCCATTCAATTGTAAATAGTCGATTAACTTCGGTCTTCGTTGAGAAGTCCCTGTTTTTGACAAGATGCTCACAGGCAATAAGGCGCATGTACGACTGTCGTGAAAAATGTAGAGACATTGGCACCAATTCATGCCGTAACTTAGTACTTCATCCCGAGGCAGGAGGCACTGTGTCTTCAAGTGATTTATCGAGGCCTAAACTGTTCCGCATTACTCAGTTCCATCCATTGTCGAGCCTAAACTCTGCTTTATCCC